GACTTGAATATACACATACAGTGGTTTAGCCTACGAAAATAAAATAAAATATAAATGTGGTTATTATAACCTCAGTTTCAACAAGCTGATATTTTACATTTGGGGGTTGAATATAATGTTTTTTCATAGAATTTAAAAACGTTCGACCAACGAAACAAAAGGTATTTTACAAATATTAATATCATTTTTACCGAGAACCGTTCCAGTTATTTATAGAAAAAATAAGACGTTAAGCACTTCTCATGATTTTTATGACTTATGTCAAATACATTTAGATTTACCTTTTCGTGAATTAAGACAAGAGACAGACATAGGTAATTTATTTTATAATGAAAACCAGCGTCGCTGTTGCTTTAACTGCACTAAAATCTGTTTGCAGGTGGAATAGAGATATTATGAAACGTTTATATTTTTTTAATTCTTACCGTATATAAATTACAGGATAAAATTATCACTTTCACTTGAGTATGATGCGTTTAATCTATTAGGCCTTAAGTTAAAGCAGTTTTTGGTTTAGTTGTATGTTTCTTCTGGCAGGTTAATACGAACCTTTGGTGCTAGAGCCCTACACTGATCTGTTGAATTTTCTAACATTAGCTTCTTTATCCAGTACTACCGTTTATAAGAGTTTATAAAATTTCACTGAGATCTTATCAGTATTAATCATTAGTAAGAAGGTATATTATGTACATTTTTGTAGATTAACAGATATTTTTTTGAGTTTAATAAATTACGTGTATTTTTATACTAAACTGCTCGAATAAGTATCAGCGATATTATTTACTCTTTGTTGTTGTTGTTTGTAGTTAAGCACAAAGCTCCACAAAGGGCTATGTGGGCTCTGCCCACCACGGGTATCGAAACCCGGTTTCTATCGTTGTAAGTCCGCAGACATACCGCTGTACCACTGGGGGGGCTTTACTCTTTGTCTTGTTGGTTTCAGTCAATATCTCCAGACAGAATCAAAAGACAATAATCAATCTATATTTTATTTTTTCTGAACGTTAAATAAGCTGCTATATTGTTCTTGTTTAGAAGACTAATAACGATGTTTTTAATATCAATTATTCAGTCAGGTATCTTCATAGAACTTTTTGTGAAATTTTCTGTTGTTTTTTCACCAACCTATGATGAGATAAAACCTCTTTAAAACTTGGCTATTATTTTTAATTTGGATTGCTCCAACAAAAAATCTTTCAGGCGGAATATGCCTAATTGAGAAGTGTTGAGGAATCAACTGGTAGCATATTGCTGTCTGCCCTTCAAAACATTGAAGAAAATTTGCACTATATAGCGGTAAGAAAATACATAAAACTTGGTTTTGAAATAAGCCCGTTGTTGAAAATACGATTTGATCGGCATTATTTCGGCTTCGATTAAGGTTATTGGTAGGTTGAGAAATATCTGAAACTGGTTTAAGACTAGTGAATGTCAATGGTCGAGGTTTTTTTTTTAAGAAGGCAGCAGAAAACAAAAAGGAGTCCTCAATAGCTGCGGCACATGAATTCTTTAGGGCAGGATTACATTCAATTAATCTATGAGACCTTTTCCTTTTTTTCGCTATATCTTTGTAGGCCAGCAATACCAAGCATGGGGCGCGCGCATCCCCAATTCGATTTTCATCGGGATCTCTACCAGCCTACCCCCAAATTGAAAGGTTTGACCTCCTGAGTCCAAAATTGTAATTAGATCTCAAATCGGTCAAGAGATGACGGAGCTAAGAGCTAAAAGTTTGTACTTGAAAAAAAAACAAAAAAACTCAGCCATTCTATGATCCGTTATGCGGCGGCTAATATATTGTTACGTCTCTGGTCGTTTGTTAATTTCCCTTAAAAATTCCTTCCGAAAAACTTCAGCGATACGAGTCCTTTCTTAAGTAAAACTAGTTTATTCTTTCTCAATACAACTTTGCAATACACTTAATTTCCACAATAAAACACACGCTATAATTCTCAACGAACGATTCACGCACTTACTT